TGGTAAACATATAAATGGTGACAAAATAGCTAAAGAATTTAATCTGTTTTGAGTCATGGATGAACACAAGTATGTTTTTATATGGTTTAGTTTTGGAAAATTCAAAACATATGACTTGATATCATAATGGTAGCCTCAGCCTCGAGTTGCCAATACCTTGATCTGGGCATGAGTAGAAGGCATCCAGTGACAATTGGTACACAACTTCCGTCTTCTTGAAACCTGTTCTTTTATTGTCTTTTCTACGCCCTAAATTTTTCTCATCTTCATTCACTCTCAGAGTTTCAGTGGAATTGTCACGCATTTATCCACTGTGCCATGTGTCCTTGAGGACATCTGGGCATGAATTTCTGGGTATTATAAACCTAATGTCCTCAGCAATCATTTTTACCAGTGCTCATATTGCAATTTTTGCTGTTATCACTGCATATTTTTTACCATATTGCAACTTTGTTGTTATCATTGCTTTTCTCTGGCACTCCTTATTACGGGTTCCAATATTGTATTTATGAGTGAAATAAAGGGTTCAGTTCGAAATTCCAACCATCTGCAGAAGGCCGGAGTGTACAATGGCCGAAAGGTTGTGATAAATATGGCGACAAAGATGAGGACAATAGTCCGAATAATGTAAATAATGTACATAATACCCCATCTCAGAAATATAGACAGGCTATAAAAGACTTTGTTTTATTAATTTGTCTTGTTTAAAGGAATTTATTAAAAGGTAATTTTTGCGGTTAGTATAAATTAAACGTGACTTTTATTATGCACGTTTTCTTAAATTAAAATAGTGCTTGTTTTATTATTATAACTGCTGACTGAACACACGCTTTACCTTTGAATGAAACTGACATTTGTTGCATAAATGATTAACATGACAAGACATCAATACTTTTTGCATGAGTTTTGAAAATGCTTTTATCCATTTCTCATCCAGATTACTATAAACCAGATAAACCATTTATAGTCGCAATTTAAGGCCGCGCAACAGAGATAGGAAACAATGGAGATTAAAAGAGAAATGGTAAGTCTGATCGGTTCGATACGGTCAATATTGGTAGCTGATCTAAAAAAACTTATTTTTACCGCCTCCAAAACGAAACTGATCTCTTTTAATCAACCCGAGAGAAGACTTTTTACCTTCCATTAGCATGGCTGATGCTAACCTCCAGGAGAATGACGCATTGCCACTTCTTGGGGTAAAATTTATCGGGGAAGAAACAATGCAGATATTAATGTTGAAATGAATGCATGTTAGATTTCACAGTCCTAGCATCGCTCCTTCATAGTCAGCCTTTGAACTTTACAGCACACCCTCGTACCTGCAATGGAACAATGCCGTTATTAACGAGAAGAGTGGAAATTGACGCATGTCAGATTTCAGAGTTTTAGCATCACTCCTTCATCGTCAGACTATGAACTTTACAGACCGACCCCGTACCTTGAAAGCAACAATACAGTTATTAATAAGAATTATTGCTTTCCGGGTACGGAGGTGGGCTGAAAAGTTCATAGGCTGACTATGAAGGAATGAATCTAGAACTGTGAAATCTTGCATGCATTCATGCATATATATATATATATGAAGAAAAATTTGGAAAAAACAAACAAAAATCATTAAATGCAATTATGTTGTTTAAAATGAATGAAATGTCGACGTCTGACGTTTCGGTTTAATAAACCTTTTTCAAGACAATATTCATTAAAATACAATTCAGTTCAATTTGACAAAGACGATGGACATAAAAAACAAGTCTTATCCAAAACAGATAACTGAAAATTTTTAAAATGATCAGCTTTCCGTTTAGCATGGTCACATTGTCGTCACATGGGCGACACTTTCAAAACGTATTCCTAAAAATTTTGATTATTTTGAATGAAAAAGAAAATGAAAAGAATTCTATTAGGATCTCTGTTTTGGATAAGACTTGTTTTTTATGTCCATCGTCTTTGTCAAATTGAACTGAATTGTATTTTAATGAATATTGTCTTGAAAAAGGTTTATTAAACCGAAACGTCAGACGTCGACATTTCATTCATTTTTTAACAACATAATTGCATTTAAGGATTTTGTTTGTTTTTCCAAATTTTTCTTCATTCTGTCGGATATATATCCATTTACATTTGCTTATATATATATATATATATATATATATATATATATATATATATATATATATATATATATATATATTTCAAAGTAGATAATATATAGGTATATATATATATATATAAAGTAGTTTTCATATATATATATATATATATATATATATATATATATATATATATATATATATATATATATATATATATATATATATATATGGGCACGTGTCCGATTATTAGAACATTTGCATTCTGACCATGAGAATTTCACCATAGTCGATTTCTCAGAAAGGAGACTTCCTGATGATATCGAACTGGAAGGGTCGATCCCAGGTTGCGGCAACTTTTGTAAGTCCCCCTGAAATAGCACAGGGTATAACTGTGCTAGCACGAAGTCACAAGTCATCGTGGCTGAAGGTTTGGGCGAGGTGGCCTTGTTTAAACTTTTGATAACACGCTCTTTCCCAGAAACTGTAACTAAGGTCTGCTCAGCATAGTAGCAGTATAAACCACAGGTGGGCTCTGTGGGTTTTGAATAAACACAAATGTGCCTGAGCAAGTGTCTGCAAACAGGGATTGGCTAGCCACCCTGGTAGAGTGGCTAGCTACACACGTACACACACACACACATATATATTGTCGGATGATCGCAAAAGTGTGAAACCCAGGGTTACAATCTCATGTCCATACAACTGAATATGTCAGCTCTATCACTGATATTGAGCACTTTCCAATAATACGACGCATATATAATATATATAGAAATTATATATATACATACATACATACATACATACATATATATATATATATATATATATATATATATATATATATATATATATATATATATCGTGGACCCTCCTGTCGTATTCGACGTATGAGGGTCAAGCAGCTCAGTTCCCAGGAAACAGACACCCCAGACACCAGCACATATGATTTGATTATAGTGGTGAAGATTTCGTGCAGGTCCGTCTACACTTTTTGAAGGGTCGAATGCAGAGACCTGGTGCACTACGTGCCACAAGGTCCCCAAGCAACCCTCCGCAGGTTTTGAATTCAGAGTTGTCCTTCTCCCCAGACTAGTTGCCATCCAGGGTTATAGAACCCAGTCTGTCCTGGGGGGAGAAGAAGAGGATTCATACATTTCCCAAGAGTATTAGCACGTAAGTGAATGTAATGGATTCGACTAGTATATATATATATATATATATATATATAAATAATTATAATTTAGGCTCTATTTATGTATTGAGCACTGTTTTTAAAAAATAAAAGCAAAATAGTAAAAACTTTTGGATTATTAACCTAACGGTTCTTTCCTGTTTTTCTATATTTTACACACACACACACACACACACACACACACACACACACACACACACACACACACACACACATATATATATATAAATTCTTACTACTATTAATAAAGGTGAGGTTTGCTTATTTTATATGTCAATCCTTGTGTTCTTTAACGGACATTGTTATGTTGTTCGCTCAACAAGGATTGAACTCACTTCTAATAATTAACCAGATTAGTCTGGTTAACTACTGCGCTACGGCGAGCCGCCCTTCTGCACAGTTTATTTCTCGACGGGCGGTAAGCAAATAAATAAATAAATAAATAAAGAAAGAAAAATACAATAAAGAAAAAATTTCTCTTGGAACTTATCAAATTCTTTCTCGTCATATTTGCTCAATAATTTAGGTAAGAATTGAACTTTCTGAATGAAAACTTTAAACAAAGAACACACAAAGAGCAGTCACAACAAAACACCAGCAAATACGCAAAAACATTCGAAAAAAACAACAAAAAAACCTTTCAATTGAATAATGTCGGTCAGCCTACGAGTGACACCGTTGTCGTCTGGTTTTGTGTTTTCTGCTCACCTGGTGTTACCTGTGTATAGATTATTCACTCGCCTAACTTGATGAGTTGGTTCGTAACTAGGTCAGGTAGTTGTCTTTGAACATTATTCAGACCTCAAAATCCTTCTACTTGCCACACCTTAACTAATTCCTTAGTATTTAACGTATGTGTCCAATGAAAGAAAGAAAAAAAAGTAAAAGCCTTAATCTGAGCAAATAATATACATGTATTTACGCGCATGTATATCAATTGCTACTGTTATTGACTCAAGAATACATTCCGGTCTGTCATGGCTGACAATGAGTGTAGCAGCTTTTTTTCTGCTTTGACAAGATATTGTTGTCAAGCGTGTGCTCTTGCGCGTGTTTCGTGATGAAACTCTAGACGCTCTTCTCGGCCAGTGTAAGGCTAATTAACACTGACAGGAAGGCAGTTAGAAGATCCCTGTCCTATTATAATTGTGCTTGTCCTGCCTTTCGTTAGGTCGCACGACCCTTATGCCTTGCCAATACCTCATAAATAACGGAATATTCCGTTTTGATAGCATCGAATGACGGAAAAGACACTGCTTGGTTTCAGTGAGAAAATGAATGAAAGAAAGAAAGACAAAAGGAAAGATAGAAGTGTTTAACGGCTGTTTCAGTGAAATAGAAAAAGTTGGCAATTTAAAACCTTTTCATTTGTACCCACTTCTTAAAATAACGGCCAGCATTTGTAGTTATGATTGTTATTGCAATATTTTGTTAAAGTTGTTAAGCTCAGATAGTTAACAAATTGATAGAGGAATTTCCACAGATATTTTATTGTCGTAGAATTCGCCATGAGCTTATTCAATTATTAACTTAAGAATTAAGCTTCATCAGAAATTTAAAATAGGAAAGCTGTTAAATTTTAACGGGTTAAAATTAGTCATTATTATTTTTATTTCATATTTCATCATAAAAAACACAGACCTAAGTTTGTGCATTTCTTAGGAGCAACATTGTTCTAGTCTGTTTTTTATGAAAAATACATCGCCGACACTATTTGAAAGAAAGAAAGAAAGAAAGAAAAAAAGAAAAAAGAAAGAAAGAAGGAACAAACGAATGAACTAACGAACGAACGAAAGAAAGAAAGAAAGAAAGAAAGAAAGAAAAAGACAGAAAGAAGGAAGGAACGAAAGAACGAACGAAAGAAAGAAAGGAAAGAAGAAAGAAAGAAACGAACAAATGAACGAACGAACGAACGAAGGAGGGAGGAAGTAAAGAAAGAAAGACAGAAAGAACGAACGAACGAACGAACGATAGAAAGAAAGAAAGAAAGAACGAATGAACGAACGAACGAACGAACGAAAGAAAGAAAGAAAGAACGAACGAAGGAAGGGGGAAGGAAGTAAAGAAAGAAAGAAAGAAAGAAAGAAAGAAAGAAAGAAAGAAAGAAAGAAAGAAAGAAAGAAACGAACGAACGAACGAAGTGGAAGGAAGTAAAGAAAGAAAGAAAGAAAGAAAGAAAGAAAAAAGAAAGAATGAGCGAACGAAAGAAAGAAAGGAAAGAAGAAAGAAAGAAACGAACAAATGAACGAACGAACGAACGAAGGAGGGAGGAAGTAAAGAAAGAAAGAAAGAAAGAAAGAAAGAAAGAAAGAACGAATGAACGAACGAACGAACGAACGATAGAAAGAAAGAAAGAAAGAACGAACGAAGGAAGGGGGAAGGAAGTAAAGAAAGAAAGAAAGAAACGAACGAACGTACGAAGGGAAGGAAGTAAAGAAAAAAAAGAAAGAAAGAAAGAAAGAAAGAAAGAAAGAAAGAAAGAAAACGAACGAAAGAAGGAAGGGGAAGGAAGTAAAGAAAGAAAGAAAGAAAGAAAGAAAGAAACGAACGAAGGAAGGAAGGGGAAGGAAGTAAAGAAAGAAAGAAAGAAAGAAAGAAAGAAAGAAAGAAAGAAAGAAACGAACGAACGAAGAAAGGAAGGAAGGGGAAGGAAGTAAAGAAAGAAAGAAAGAAACGAACGAAGGATTGAAGGGGAAGGAAGTAAAGAAAGAAAGAAAGAAAGAAAGAAAGAAAGAAAGAAAGAAAGAAAGAAACGAACGAACGAAGGAAGGAAGGGGAAGGAAGTAAAGAAAGAAAGAAAGAAAGAAAGAAAGAAAGAAAGAAAGAAAGAAAGAAAAGAACGAAGGAAGGAAGGGGAAGGAAGTAAAGAAAGAAAGAAAGAAAAGAACGAAGGAAGGAAGGGGAAGGAAGTAAAGAAAGAAAGAAAGAAAGAAGTGTTTAAAGTTTGATTTAATGAAAAGGAAAAAGCTGTCAATTTTAAATCTTTCCAAGGTTTGAAATTGTATGCAATATTTTGTCAAAGTTTTAAACTCAAATATTTCACGATGCGAGGGGGGGAATTTCTATGAATATTTTATTGTCGTCGAACTCACCATGAGTTTATTCAATCTGTAACTTAAGAATTAAGATTTATTAAAAGATTAAAATTGGAAAACCGCAAAGTTTCACAGGTTAAAACTAGTATATATTAGAGGGTTAATAGATACACACGCAGAGAGAGAGAGAGAGAGAGAGAGAGAGAGAGAGAGAGAGAGAGAGAGAGAGAGAGAGAGAGAGAGAGAGAGAGAGAGAGGAAGGAAGGAAGGAAGGAAAAGCGGGAGAGTGTTAACCACTGTTCTCAAAATACGATTTGCTCGGTGACTTTTTAATTTATGAGAAGAGTGGAAGATTGTGCTGCTCCATTCTTTCACGCTGTCGTTTTTTTTTTTTTACAGTGATGTTCACCGTGTGCAAGACTCAAGAGCCAGTCGAGGTAGAGGGTTACATAGTAACAGTTTATGCTGATATGTAGGGAAGAAAATGGTTAAACCTAGAACAGGTTAAGAGTATATTGATCGGGGAAGGATCATCTCAGGAATCGATCAAACAAGGCAGCGGTTAGTGGAAAGAAGCCGCTCAAGTGGAACTTACATCTCGCCAATGGAATACGAAGGGTATGCGGCTCGTTCGCTAGAATGGGAGTGGGTCTTAGCCGTGAAGATTAGAACTGGTGGAAATAAGGAATGTAGTTCGTCTGAGCACTTTCCATGGAAATAGCAACAGATCAGCAAGAGGCTTGCGACGTTTAGTCTGTGAGGAAAGAGGTTGTAGGTTGGAAAATAATTCGTCATTCCCAACGACACGGAGACGCTTTTGATGTCTGTCGGGACAGGAAAGCGAAAACTTGGTAGCTCTTGGTAATTATATGGCAATAGTACCCAGTTCTGGGTCTGATCTGGCTCTTATAGAGGTAGAGGATATCAGGAGGAGCCAGGTACTTGCTAGTGAGGTACATTTTGTCCTAATCTTTTATTCTTTCATTCTAATCAAGACTATGTTGCCCCAATCTTTTATTCTTTTATTCTATTCGAGATTATGTTGCCCTAATCTTTTATTCTTTCATTCTATTCGAGATTATGTTGCCCTAATCTTTTATTCTTTCATTCTAATCAAGACTATGTTGCTCTAATCTTTTATTCCTTTATTCTATTCGAGATTATGTTGCCCTAATCTTTTATTCTTTCATTCTATTCGAGATTATGTTGCCCTAATCTTTTATCCTTTCATTCTATTCGAGATTATGTTGCCCTAATCTTTTATCCTTTCATTCTATTCGAGATTATGTTGCCCTAATCTTTTATTCTTTCATTCTATTCGAGATTATGTTGCCCTAATCTTTTATCCTTTCATTCTATTCGAGATTATATTGTCCTAATCTTTTTTTCTTTCATTCTATTCGAGATTATGTTGCCCTAATCTTTTATCCTTTCATTTCATTCGAGATTATGTCGCCACAATCTTTTATTCTTTCATTCTAATCAAGACAATGTCGCCACAAATTTTTATTCTTTCATTCTAATCAAGACTATATTGCCCTAATCTTTTATTCCTTTATTCTATTCGAGATTATGATGATGTAATCTTTTACTTATTCATTCTATTCGAGATTATGTTGTCCTAATCTTTTATTATTTCATTCTATTCGAGATTATGTTGCCCTAATCTTTTATTCTTTTATTCTATTCGAGATTATGTTGCCCTAATCTTTTATTCTTTCATTCTATTCGAGTAAGATAGTAAGACATTAACTCGATGTAGATACCATTGTCACTTGTGTGACACAAAGCCGTCGGCCCGTGGTCAACTCCCAGTCGCGGCGCGAAGCTGTAAGGTTTCTTCTACCGGCGTTTTGGGGTAGACGCTTTGTTGCTGCCACCAGCCTGTGTCCCGGTCGTTCGGTGGTCGTCGCTACTCGGCAAAATCCCCTGGTCAGGATACCAATATGTGACACTCAGCCGTCCAGGGTCGAATCCAGTAGTGAGGTCACCAATATGTGGCAACGTCTGGTTACTGGAGTAACTGCTTCGATCTCAAGTCTAACCTACCCACGTTGTGACTTTGATCTTAGGTAGACAAGATCAATCAGGCGTCGGGCCGTAGTGTCAGCTGAGTCCAAATTGAAGGTGACATTGCACAAGCGCAACGAAAAACCCAAGAGGTTCAAATATATTAGGAAATAACAGTTTAACTTTATCCTTCTGTTATATACTGGACAGTGTTTTTCTTCCAGCCCGTTTCCTACGAAATGTGACACTTCTATGTTTCAAGCAAGTTGATATCGTAAGTCAACTAATTTTAGTTTTTAAGTGCTGGCTTAACTTCGTTCGTCAGTATAACTTGCTATTGGTAGCATCGGCGAAGTCGGAGGTCATGGAATCTCTCGGTCAGCTTCTGCGAGGCAACACCCTTGTTGAAAACCAGCTCATCTCAGCTCCGACTTCACTCCAACTACTCTGCTCAACTGCCTAACGACAGATCGACGATCGTTTATATGGGTACCGACCAAAACCCGGTGTGTGGGCTCGACCCGGCCTGGGGTTCTCGGTAATCTCTATTTCGAACAAGAAATCCCTTTGTTGTCAGAACAGGAAAATTGATTATTTCCCATTTTTGGAAAATTAATCACTTCCCATTTCGTGGGGGGGGGGTCGCCATCGTTCGTGAGGGAAGGTCGGAGGAGATCTATCCTCCTAGACACTTTTTCTCACATTGATATCTCATACCAATCTCTTCAGTGGGCGTTAACATCTTCTCCGTCTTTCTCATCCATTCATCTCCGCCTATCACCATGCTACCATACGACCAATGATCTCTCGGCAGTGCGGGTGTGGCTAAGCTGGCCTCCTTAAAATTATAATCTAGAATTTTTGTTTACAAAATTCTCCTTGCCAATTAGATTTTTTATCACATGTTCTCTTTTTCCTGGTCCACCCAAAAGCCACTTATCCAGCACTCTTACCGTCTCATTGATAACTGTCAAAGTTTGCCATTTGGTTCTTTACGCAAAGTTAGACTTATCATGGAATCCTTGATTTGTTAAGGAATTAAATTCTTTTATCTCGTCAAATCTCAATTCTCCACTATTTTCTGGAGATTGCCAAAAGTTTACAATTGCCACATTGCTATTCGACGTCTTAGCGTCTGTTGGCAAAGTAGATGTCGAGACAATGACAAAGAAAAAAAACAAAACAAAAAAAACGATATCTTGGAAAGATAATTAACATTGATTCTCACTGCCTGTCTCCAACCGAAATTTTTTATGACTAACACATGTTTTGGCCGATGATTCCACATTTACCTTTCTTTCTATCTTCCACGGCGATAACTCGACAGGACAAGACCTCACACGTGGCTTCTTCTGCGGCTATTTTTGTAAACAAATTAAAATCTTTCTTTTAACGTCGATCAGTCTATCTTTCGTTATAGCTTTTTTTTATCCGCTTTAAGAATGTCTATTTTCTGTTTTAATTTCTATGGTTAATTAGTTAGCCAATTACCATAACCAAATAGTGTCACACTTGTATAAGTACACTAACACCACAAAGAAGACAGTTTAAAGTGTGGGAGGCATTTCTACCGCTCATGTATTAAAATATTGCTCTATTCTTTCATTCCTTCGTATTCTAAGATTATGTTGATCTATTCTTTAATTTTCGCATATTTTGTCATTATGTTGCCCTATTCCTTCTTTCTGTCATAATCTATAATTCCGTAGTCCTATTCCTTCATAGAATCATAGAATACGACTGAATGAGAGAATGCAGCTAATCATAGAATATGAGGGAATGAAAGAATAGAGTAACGTAATCACAGAATACGACGGAATAAAGAAAATCCTACCAACACTACATCCACAAAAAAAAATTAAAAAATCGTGCAATGCGCGTGTGTTTTGTATATCATATATATATATATATATATATATATATATATATATATATATATATATATATAGTTTTAAGGTGTGCTATATTTATGAGATAAAGTGCTCAATATTAGAGAGCATATGTAAATATAAATATATCAGGTATGATGATTGCGCCCAGCATGAAACAGCCTGTCGCCTCTGAGAGTTGACTTCAATATTCACTTTTATATCTATATATTTATATGACAAATTATATATATATATATATATATATATATATATATATATATATAGATAGATAGATAGATAGATAGATAGATAATATTAGTGGTAAATATACACATACATATGCAAAATATATAAATATATATACATACATGCATACACATACATATATATTTTTTATATAAAAAAAATTCCAAGAGGATAGAATCCAGGTAGAACTCAATGTCCAGGACAGAGTAAGGATATAATAAAAAGGCTTAAACACTAATATTCCATGGTCATAATTTATTCCATTGGAATCTTAAATACGATCCAAATCATCAGAATTTGTAGGTCTGATGAATTGGATCGTATTCACGATTCCAATGGAATAAATTATGACCATGGAATATTAGTGCTTAAACCTTTTTATTTTATATATATATATATATATATATATATATATATATATATATATATATATATATATATAGAATTTTTTGGTGATTCAGGCAAATCATTATAGTAATTCATCGAGTCTACAGGAATCCTCGACAGAATGCAGAAAGCACTGGACAGCCGTTTTGTTCTATTTTGGGACTCATTAGCATTACCGAGTTTCGAGCTCGAACCTTTTCGATACAATGCAAGCGTCATACCAACTGTACCAACGACACTCGATGACAAAGAAGAAACTGAATAGACACGATGTAGCGCTGCTACTCATGCAACTACTCATTACACAACGGATTGTCCCCCAAGAACCACGTCTTTCCTTTTCCCTGAATCGCTCCATCGCAGAGCATTACCTGGGTCATAAAAAACGAATATTTTTGTGACATCGAATATCAATACTCATCACTATATAAAGAAAATAAATAAAAATATATTATTTGTTTTATACCCGTAAGTGAATCAGTTCGTTTTATTCCAAAGTTTCCACTAGAGAAAATCCTACCAACACTACACACACACACAAAAATAAAAGAATAAAAAAAATGTTTCGTCGGGACTCGAGAGTACTTATCGAATTTTAAATCTTAATAAATATTTTATCCCGTACGTCAAATCGAAAATAAATAAATATACAATAAATCAAGAAAGGTTCAAGTGACTTATCTGATTGACCGACCCAAGAGTTTCGTGTTGAAACGTTCATCATGACCAGACGTTCAATAAATCTATTCACTTGAATTTTTCTCGATATATTGGATATTATAACTAATCTATTTTAATCTATCTTACATATCTATAAGTCTACCATTTGTCCATGCTAAGAATATTGTTGCCACATATGGTCCATTGCCCCTGCTGTTTATCTTGAGCTCCTTGATAAAATCCAAAGAAGAATCAGCAATATTATTCGTCCTGATCTGGCTGCTCGGCTTCAGTCACTTTCCCATCGCTGTAAAGTTGCCTCTATGTGTCTTTTCTATAAATACTTTTATGGTAATTGTTTAAAAGAGCTCTTTGCTGTGGTACCTAGAGTTTTTGAATTTAAGCGCAGCACTAGACTGGCGTCAAGATCTCATCAATTTACAGTTGAACTGGCAAGTGTAACCGTAATTTCTATGCTAATAGTTTCTTTTCTCGTACTTCTCGCTTGTGGAACTCCATTCCGTTTACATGCTTTCCAGCCAAATTTAATCTGCAAAAATTTAAATTTAACGCCAATCGCTATCTACTGTCCTCCTGATTACTCTGTGCTTTTACCTCTCATTATTAATGTTTCCGTTCCTAATTCTTCCAGCACACTGTAACCCCTTGCGTCTTAGCGGCTTTACTGCCTTCGCATGGGGTTGCACCGATTAAAAAAAATAAAAGAAGTTATCTACTGAGCGCTTTCTTTTAAATGTTCTGCTAGCCAGAAATATACGTTAAATTCTCGTCATTTTCAAGTATTATTTTTTTTTGTGGCATCATTATCAACATCATTATTTTCAATCGATAAATATATAAGGGAGATAATTTAACAAGATAAAATAATAAATATAAGGGAAGTAACTGAGGATAAAAAATGGGCAAGGGAGATAACAAAGTATTGAGTGACACGTACATTATACTGTGGGAGGAAACAAATATTCGTACACATACAAATTTTTAATGAATGAATAAACATACTTTTCATATAATTATCTGTACACAGATGTATAATAACTAAATATGCATAGAAACAGGAAAAAATTGGATTTCATAGAAA